GCCCTGCCAGTTGCACAGCACGGGCGCCGCCGTACCATCGGCTCAGCTGCACGGGATTCGACCCGAAACGGCTGCGATCACGGTCAGCGATGCACCCAGACACCGCTTGTTTCGTAGGCTGTCCTGTGCAAGCTGAGTGTTACAAGTAAGTGTCAAAGCAAGGATGGCGCTGCGGTAGCCTACCTGACATTCATGGGTAAGTGTCGCCAATATCGAAGGGCTTTGCGGAAGTTCTCGTCCGATATCGGATTTCGTTTCGCCTCGGGGTGGTTTCCAGCAGCTGCACCTGGCCGAGTCCGGGGGTGCCCGAGCCGTCCCGAACGGTCGCTGGAGGCACGAGTCTATTGCCAGAGAACCACCCGAACGTTTTCTGTGACCAGGGGGGGGGGAAGGGGGCTGGTCGGGTCACGCTTCGCGCCAGCGCCGTCTGGGAATGCTTATCGTACCACACCGCAGTTGCAGAAGAGAGTGGGCGGCCGGTGAGGACATCGGCAGTCTGCGAGGCTCCGAAGTGGCTCGCCGCAGGCGCCTAACTTCTACAAATTATGTAGTGAGCCCGCCCGCCGGCGCCGATTTGTTCGTTGACGCAATGCGGGTGTGTGCGGGCGGGTCGCGGGCGGGTCGCGGGTGGGTCGCGGGGTGGGTCGCGGGTGGGTCGCGGGCCGGGTCGCGGGCCGGGTCGCGGGGGGGACAACGACAAACAACAACACCACCAACAACAACAACAATCATTTTAATATTGTTCGCCCGTATCTGCTCGAGTGTCCAATAACGCGTATTTCCCAAACCCTCGATACTTGCCCTCTTCGTCTTCGGTTGAACCCAATTTGGGGAGTAGACCTTTTTTCCTTGCAGGCCGGGCACTGGCAAGAGCCAGGGCGGCCGCGGACCGTCGGCCTGGCCAGCGTCAGCGCTGATCGGCGGGGCGGCCGCGGACCGTCGACCCGACACCAAGAGGGAAGGACAGGGGACCGACCAAGACGGCGACGACGACGACGACGACGACGACGTCGACGACGGCGACGACGACGACGCCGACGGCGGCGGCGACGACGACGAGCGAAAGCGAGAGCGAGAGAGAACGACAGCAGGGCCACGAAGGACACGAAGTAGGCCACGAAGGGCGACAGCGGGGACACGAAGGGAATGCGTATGGGGCCACGAAGAGCGCGAACGAGCGGGGGCCACAAAGGGCAGATAATGCGGGGACACAAAAGGCAACGATGGCGGCACTGAGGGTAGCAACTGGGCCACGTAGGACAGTGAGGGGGCCACAAACGGCGACAGCGGGGCCACCAAGGGCATGCACATGGGGCCACAACGGGCGCGAACGAGCGGGGGCCACGAAGGGCATACGTATTTTGGGCCGCGGAGGGCAAGGACGGGGCCACTGAGGGCAGCAACGGGGCCACGAAGGGCAGCGAGGGGGCCACGAAGGGCGACAGCGGGGCCACGAAGGACATGCACATGGGGCCACAACGGGCGCGAACGAGCGGGGGCCACGAAGGGCATACGTAGATGGGGCCACGCAGGGCAGCGAGGGGGCCACGAAGGGCTGCAACGGGGCCACGGAACAAAGCGAGGGGGCCACGAAGGGCTGCAACGGGGCCACGAAGGCTGCAACGGGGCCACGACGGGCAGCGAGGGGGCCACGAAGGGCTGCAACGGGGCCACGAAACAAAGCAAGGGGGCCACGAAAGGCTGCAACGGGGCCACGAAGGGCCGCGAGGAGGCCACGAGGGGCTGCAACGGCGCCACGAAACAAAGCGAGGGGGCCACGAAGGGCTGCAACGGGGCCACGAAACAAAGCGAGGGGGCCACGAAGGGCTGCAGCGCGGCCACGAAGGGAAGCGAGATCCCGATTCCTATGTAATCTGTGAGGAAGTCCTAAGCGTGAGCGCGACTCCTAGGTGCCTGGGTGTTGGGAGCGCGGCGCTTGAGTAAATTGCATGAAATTCCAAAGCAAGGGCGCTATCCGTCAGTAATTTGCAAGCAAGTCTCCAGCGATCTCGCGACTCCAGAGCGCTGGGAGAGCGATTCCAGAAAAACATTATAAAGAATTCTTCAGCGAGGGCGCGATTCCTGAATAAAATGCGAGAAAGGCTCGGGCGGGAGCGGGGGGCCTGGCTAAATTGCGAGAAAGTCTCAGGCGGGAGCCGTTGTTGTTATAACCCGGAGGCCAGGGGCGCAGTTTGAGCATCAAGATTTCCCATATCAAACAACAGGGTGCGAGCGTCGAGGGGCACACTTTGATTGAGAAAAACAATATGCAACGGTGAGGGGGGATTAGCAATAGTTACTTGTCAGAAATGAGAGTTCAACCACAACAGCAGCAGCAACAACACCACCAGCAACAACAGCAAACACAAAACCAACAACACCAGCACCAACACGAACAACAACAACAATCATTTTAAGACCGTTCGCCCTTATATGCTCGAGTGTCAAATAACGCGTATTTCCCAAACCCTCGATACCCGCCCTCTTCGTCTTCGATCGAACCCCGGTTGGGGGGTATACCTTTCTTCCCTGCAGGCCGGGCCCCGGCAAGCGGCGGGGCGGCCGCGGACCGTCGGCCTGGCCAGCGGCAGCGCTGATCGGCGGGGCGGCCGCGGACCGTCCACCCGACCCCAAGAGGGACGGACAGGGGACCGACCACGACGACGACGACGACGACGACGACGACGACGACGACGACGACGACGACGACGACGACGACGTCGAAGACGACGGCGACGACGACGACGACGGCGACGACGACCGAAATTGAGAGCGAGAGAGAACGACAGCAGGGCCACGAAGGGCACGAAGTAGGCCACGAAGGGCGACAGCGGGGACACGAAGGGAATGCGTATGGGGCCACGAATAGCGCGAACGAGCGGGGGCCACAAAGGGCAGATAATGCGGGGACACAGAAGGCAACGATGGGGCCACTGAGGGTAGCAACTGGGCCACGTAGGACAGCGAGGGGGACAACAATGGCGACAGCGGGGCCACGAAGGGCACGCACATGGGGCCACAACGGGCGCGACTCCTGGGTGCCTGGGTGTCGGGATCGCGGCGCTTGGGCAAATTGCAAGAAATTCCCACGCAAGGCCATTTTTCAGTAAGTTGCAAGCAAGTCTCCAGCGAGAGCGCGATCCCAGAGCGCCGGGAGAACGAAGTCCCAAGCGAGCGCGCGATTCCTGAATACAATGCGTTGTTGTTGTAACCCGGGGGCCAGGGGGCCAGTTTGAGCAGGAAGATTTTCCTTGTCGAAAAACAGGGTGCGAGCGTCGAGGGGCACACTTTGATTAAGTAAAACAGTATGCACCGGTGATGGGGGGAACAACAACAATTATTCTTCAGACATGAGAATTCAACAGCATCAACAACAAAACCAAACACGAACCCAATAACAACAGCAACAACAACAGCAGCAACAACAACAACAGTCAGCACCGAATAACCTCACTTCAGCCACGCGCCCAGGGACAGTGAATGACCGTTCGGCCCACTCACTCTGACGGGTTGCAAATTTCCACACGGCGCCGCAGGCGCGAGTCGTGACGTGGCCCGAAGGAGGGGGGAGGCGGGGGGGGCAGAGGCCAGTCATGGGCGCAACCGCGAATACAGTGGAGACCCATGTTAAGATACACCCTGCTTGCCTCCAGGGTTTTCTGGGGTTCGGTGGTTTTGCGATGGGAAGAAGGCGTGACGTTCCCACACCAAAAATCCGTGGACGTCCTGGAGTCTCAGGGTCAGGTTGTTTCTTGTGGAAGGTTTCTTGTGGTCGGGCCCCTACTGTAATTCAAACGTGGGCTCCGCTCGGAGTCAGTGTCGTGGCGGCCTGGGCGTGGGACTATCTATCCACGCCTGGTCGAAGGCTCGAGGTACAGCGGCGTGATCGCATGCTGCGCGGCGTCTTCGTGTTGGCCTGCCCCGCCTTCCAAGTGGCTCCTCGACCGTGGCCGCGGCGACGACGACGACGACGACGACGACGACGGCGACGACGACGACGACGGCGACGGCGACGGCGACGGCGACGGCGACTACGCCCACGCATGCGGCTCATGAGCGCCTGCGCGCCACGGTGCGGAGTGCCACAGCACCCCCGAGGGCCGCATGTTGGCAGTTGCGGCGGCTGGCGGCTCCAACACAGTGCTCGCTCCTGCGGAAGAGCTCCTGCCTCGCAGGCGGTGTTTCTCCCCCGGCCCCCGTCTTGTCGACGGACAATGAAGCCGCTCAGAGAAGGAGGGAAAGCCTTGGATACGCTCCTAGGGGGCTGTTCGCACGCCACGCACCCCTACCAAGGATGGACGCCCCCCCCCCGTACATCCCATGGTTGGGCCCCACATGTCTAGTCCATTCGAAAACCCCGCGAAGCCTGAGATAGGGGTCGACATCTCCCCATGTTGTCCCTTCTCCTCCTCCTCGTTCTCCTCCTCATCCTCCTCATCCTCCTCGTTCTCCTCCCCCTCCTCCTCCTCCTCCTCCTCCTCCTCCTCCTCCTCCCTCCTCCCTCCTCCTCCTCCTCCTTCCATCCTCTTCTTCTTCTCATCCTCCTCCTCTTCCTTTTCCTTTTCCTCCTCCTCCTCCTCCTCCTCCTCCTCCTCATCATCATCATCATCATCATCATCATCATCACCCTCATCATCATCATCCTCATCCTCATCCTCATCCTCATCCTCATCCTCCGCATCCTTCCCCCAGGCCACGCACGTGTGGCAGTGCCACGAGACTCTCCCCTCCCCCGTCGTGGGCCTACAGTCAACCCGCATGGTAAGGATGGGCAGCCCTCCCAAGGGCACCCGTGCATCCTTGGCCCCTTCGGCCCACCCCTGGCGACCCTCGCTGGCCAGTCTTGCTCGAAAACCGCCCACGTGGCCCTCCGAGGCCCCTCGCACCCTCACCGCGCATCCTTGTTGTACGGGCTGACTCTACGTTGCCGCCGCCGTCGTCGCCACCGCCGCTCTCGCGGCGACTGGGTGGCCTGCAGCGGCCCGCGGCCCCGGGCACGCCGCGACGCGCCGGAGTCCCTCCGGCGGCCGGCGGCCGCGCCGCGCCCCGGCATGCTGGGCGGCGTCCTCGGGCGCCTGCGGGGCTCCCCTCTGGCCGCTGATGGCGTCGGCGGCAGCGCGCCTGGCGAGGATCGGAGGAGCAGACCATGGCATGAGCATGCTCGGGGATTCTGAAGAAGCGTGGGGGGGTACCCCCGACGGGGGTCGACCTCGCCTCGCCGTCGCGCCGCGACGGGGGTCGGAGCGCCCTCGGCGCGCGGTGGCTGCCCGCGACGGGGGTCGATGTGGGGCTGTTGGCGGGGGTGACGCCCACCTGACGCTTATTAAGAAAATTCGGAGTAAACGTCACCACCCACCAAACCGCGCCAACCCAACCCGAAGGCCTCGATTTGCCCTCCACTTTCAGTAGGGGGCGGGTCGGGATATATTTTGATAAAACACATGTGAAACCCGTGCCCCCCTAACCCGAAATTCGGGTCTTCGGGTTGGGTTGGGGTGGTCTGGTAGGTAGTCGAAACGTTCGGAGCTCCGCGCCCAATTCTTGGATCAGCGCTGGGGCTCCTTGGCGGTGCCTCCAGCGCCGCCCTTGGAGCGCTCCGCGCGCCAGGCCGGGGGGTCCTGCTAGATCCAAGACGTCCGCGCGGACCTCCAGCAGTTTATGTTTATGCAGTGGTTTGCTCTGTTTTCCGGCCGTTGATGGCGTCGGCGGCAGCGCGCCTGGTGAGGACTTTGGCGCCACCACGAGAGTGTTGGGTGTCTCACATGGAGGTCTCACACGTCGAGGAGTGCCGAGGAGTATGATGAGACGTCCTCGACGACGTGTGAGACACTCCTCGACGGGAGGATGATGATGATGAGGAGGAGGAGGAGGAGGACGCGGAGGAGGATCGAAAATCCAGGGCCGAGTTTCTCGTTCTTTCTTGGGCCGCCTGGATTGCTCTTGTGCCCACGGATGGAGTCCCCCTCGAAATTCTGGCCACAGCTCACTCTTGGACAGAGTGGGGGGGGGCGTTTGTCATCCTCAAACCCAGACCTCCAGCGGGAGGAGAGGGAAGGAGGAGGCACGAGGATGATTAGGAGGCGGAAGTTGAGCAGGAGGCGGGTGAGAAGGGGGAGGAGGAAAGGACGTCGGCAGACGCTCTTGGTGCTAGTTGTCCTGCTTCTGGAAGGTTGTACTAGCCACCCTGTCAGCTTGCCTTCCGGTAAGCTTTCCTTCTCGCTCTCCTTCTCCACTTTCTCGTCGCCGCTCCCGCCCGAGCTGGACGGGTACTCCCCTTTGCGCCGCTCTTGTCGAGAGGTGGGCCAGCGTCCATGACGACGGGCCTCGGAGATCGGCCGAGCACTTGCCTGCTGGTGGAGTTTCGGCGCGCACTGGTGTCCCCCATCGCAGCCCGTGATTACAGAGGGCGTGTGGGACACCAGAGCGGGAGGGATTGAAAGAGGGACGGACGAATGTTGTCCCTTGCCTATGTGGCTTGCTCTGAAGCAGGATGTGTGGTGCATTGCTTGAATCAGCGCGTGACCGCCTTCCCAGCCTTTCTGGTTTCGCTATTCGCTGCGTTCGCAGACTTCTAGCCTTGCGTCCAGGTCTAGCCGTGCAGACTTACGCCAAGTCTCCACTTCATTCCCTCCCTCCCCCCTCCTTCCCCGATCCCCCCTCGCGACGGCAGATTTTACGACGGGGCCCCCCGAGGAGCCGGGCAGTCCCAGCAGTGGGCCGTGGGTGCCGTTCGCCCAGCGGGAAGACCTGACGGTGCGCCTCCGCAACATCCTTGAGGAGCGCCTCGGCGAGGAGGAGGAGGAGGAGGCGGAGGGGCGAGGGAAGACGAGGTTGAGGAGCGGGGAGGGCGGGAACAGGGAGGAGGAGAGAGGGGGGGAATTGTGGAAGGACGGAGGGGGGAGGAACAGGTGGGGGGGGAAAGAAGAGAGAGAGAGAGAGAGAGGGGGGAGGCGAAAAAAGGTGAACAAGTCAGGATGGGGAAGGAGTATTCGGGGAATCCTGAGGGCCCTTGGAGGACGATGTGGGCGGGATGGGAAGGGACGGGATGAGAGGAAAGGGAGATGAGACGAGAGGAGAGGAGGAGGGGGAGGAAGAGGACGGGGATGATGAGACGGAGCAGGGTGAGGAACATCTCCTCTCGCTCCCTCCCTGCCTCACCCTTCCGTATGTTCCTGGTCCATAGATTACGTCTCTTCCTTCTCGGGGCCCGTTTAGGGGCGCTGGGAACCCAGCGAAAAGGCTGTTGCTCCCCAAATCCAGGACTGTCAAGCTCTCTCCCGCCCTTCCGAACATCCAGTCTTTCAAGATACCAACCGCGACCAGAGCGCTCGATCATCTTACGCCATATTGGTTCGACGATTGCCCTCTCTTGTGCCACGCTTTTACAGCTGGACGCTGCAAGGGACAAAAGAATGGGGCTCAGGCTTGCTTAATCGAGTTTCGTGCTCATGGGGGAAATGTTTTGACGATGGGCCGTGATCCGCCACGGGATACGTACCCCGACCCCTGCCAAGGGGGAAACATCTCGCACGTTGCGCACCTTTGTGTCTGGAGGCGCGCGCGCGCCCTCGGCTCAGACGCTGGCGCGGCGCACCTCGGTTTGGGCAGGCTGCAACTCGCCAAACTGATTGTTTGTTTGCTTGGGGCTAGGGCTCGTCATGCTGCTGGGGGGGCGCGTGGCAGGAACGGCTGCGCCCCGGCGCGGTTGCGGGCATGGCGGGCGACGTGGAACGAGTTCGGGGATAAGTATTTACATAGGTTTGTTTGTTTTGTTGTTCTGTTGTTTTGTTTCGCGAGGGGCTTCCTGGGAGCGCGCCAGGGCGCGACGTGTCTCAACGCGTGGGCGTTCACAGGTCTGTGGGTCCAGGGGTTTGATCGTCTGGGGATAACATTGTTGGTTCCCATGGGTCTGCAAAAGTTATCCCCAAACCGTTGGGGGCACATCAGCTCGGGGGTGAGTTCAAACAATTTGTGAGGTCCCCATCTCGGTGGCTTTCCCCTGGGAGGTTGCTGCGCGGGTTTATCTCCCCCAGTTGGATTAGCCTGATCGTTCATGTCATGTGTTCTTCGTCTGTGCGGTAACTGTTCAAAAGTTTGGCGCACGAGTCCTTTGGCCAAATGTGTCTGGCAGTTGTTTGCAACGCGAGCGCCAATGCATTATCTCTTGGATGAAGCGATCTCGCATTGCCAGAATTCGGCAGCAATATTAATGGAGCGGTTTTACCCTCGCAGCGTAAAACAATATGATCCGCGGGGGGCGACAAGCAACCCTGGACAAGGATAGGGGTAATAAGCACGTGAGCGCCCTGGGCCCGATCCGAGAATTCCGTCGTGACTTTGTCAAGACGTCCAGATGTCAGTCGTGGCAGGCCTAGCACGAGGATGCATCGCTCTAGACCGCTCTGGACTGGTCGCGGCGCCCGATACATCCTGCAGTTCCGCCGTCTTTGAGAGGACCCCAGTCCGACTTTGTCCTCACCCTGGCGTCGCCTTCATGAAGAGCCCCTACAGTGGAGACCCATGCCAAGAAACACCCTGCTTGCCTCCAGGGTGCCCTGTTTTTGTTCGAGTTTCGATGGTTTTGCTATGGGAATCGTGGCGCCCATACACCAAACATCCATGGACGTCCTGGGGTCTCAGGTTTGGGTTTCTTGTGGAAGGTTTCTTGTGGTCCAGCTCCTACTGTTCGAGTAGGGAGTCAACTACAGAATTGATCAACCCAAAATTGATTTTCCGTCGAGTCTACCAACAATACGCAGACTGCTCCGAAGATCTACGAACAACGCGTTATAGTTTTCGTACACGGGGTAAATCGATCCTGTAATCGATCCCGTACTCGAACTGTCCCCCTGGAGGGATTCTCCGAAGAGCTGAGGCGACCCGTCCTCCTCTTCCTCCTCCTCCTCCTCTTTCTCTTCCTCCTCTTCCTCCTCCTCCTCCTACTCGAATGGTATCCTCCCCTTTCCTTCCGCAGATATGTTTTTTTCGCCCCAGCCCGCGGCATCAGAGCGCCCGACCACTGCCCCAGAGGACACGCTTTGTTCTGTTCGCCCCGGATCACTGTACAATTGGTGGCCCCGGGGCCCGAGCATGCCTTGGGAAGGAGGAGGAGGAGAAGAAAGAGGAGCAGGAGGAAGAGGAGGAAGAGGAGGAGAAGGAGGAGGAGCAGGAGGAGATGGAGGAGGAGGAGAACAAGGAGGAGGAGAAGTAGAAGGAGAACGAGGAGGAGGAGGAGGAGGAGAACGAGGAAGAGGAGGAGGATGAGGAGGACCAGGAGGAGGAGGAGAAGGATGAGGGGGAGAAGGAGGAGGAGGAGGAGAAGGACAACGAGGTGCAGGAGAACGAGGAGGAGGAGGAGGTGGAGGAGGAGGAGGAGGAGAACGAGGAAGAGGAGGAGATCGAGGAGGAGGAGGAGGAGCAGGAGGAGGAGGAGGAGGAGGAGGAGGAGGAGGACGAGAAGACGCCAGGATTGGGAAAACATGTCGAGGATCTGCGCCCCCCCCCCGACGCCGACGCCGACGCGGCGGCGGCGGTGGCAGCGGCAGCGGCACCGACACCGGCGGCGCCGAGGGCGCCGACTGGGGAACCAAAAGCTGCGGATACCATTGCTCCCCAGATCTTCCTTGGTGTGCGTTCTGACTGCAATTTTGAGTCGAATCCAGCCGTTGGTGTCGACGAGGGCCTCCTAGGAGAAGACGAAACCGAGGAATCAGTCGCGGTATCGGTGCCTTCTCTTGGCGGCGCTCCTCCCAGACCCTGGACGTCGTGATTTTTTCACAACGTCGACCCCCAGAGGTCTGGACCCCTTCCCCTGGACCGGCTTTTCATCCTGAGCCGTTTTTTTGACGGTCCCGAGGCCTGGCAAGTGCCCCCGGAGGCTGAAAACAGTGAAAAACCTTCCGCCGTGATTTCTGTCACAGGTTTAAGTCGGGCCTGTCCCTCCACAGGAGGGATATTCAAAAAACAGAAAAACATAGTACGGGGACTATTTTTTGAGTATTTTCTAATATTTTTTAGTATTTTGGGGTATTTTTAATTGTTCCTCCCAAATCCCCCTGTAGGGGGACAGGCCCGACTTAATCACAGCTCGAGGGGGCCCGGGCTCGGAGGAGTACGCCTTCGGCCCCGGCGTGTTCCGGGAGCTTGTGCAGAACGCGGACGACGCCGGCGCGCGGCGGCTGGTCCTGGTGCTCGACGGGGCCACGCACCCGGGGGGCCCTGGCCTCGTGGACGCGCGCCTGGGGCAGTGGCAGGAGGGGACGGCCGTCGCGAGGGCGGGGGAAGTTCCTCTCCTCGGGGGTGGCCAAGAGGGGGGTGATGTTAAATCGGGCCTGTCCCTCTACAGGAGGAGTATTCAAAAATATGTTAAACATCTTATGGGGGCGATTTTTTCTCATGTCTGGATGATTTTCATATCTTTTCAATTTTTCGCCCAAAATCCGTTTGCAGGGGGACACGCCCGACCTATTTCCACATCCTGGGCGGCCAAGAGGGGGGTGATGACTAGGGGGAGGTTGGATATCATGGAGTGGGCCATGATACTTTCTCAGACTTCATGGCACTTCTTCTCATCTCGTTACGTCCCTGGACCCCCCCGGGGCCGCGCACATGCCGCCGGCCATGATTAGCGCCCCCCCCTCTTGGACGCCCCCTCTTGGCCGCCCTCGATCTCCAGGCCTCCCAGACGGTGTCCGAGCAGATGGTCAGAGGAGGAAAAGGTACCCATACATCTGCCCTTCCCTCGTTTCCCCCTTGTTCGGCCTCCTGGGCTGCCCTCGTCGCCACCGCTGGATTTGCCTCGAGATTCTGGCCAGAACGCACCCCAGAGGAGGTCTGGGGAGTTGCGGTATCGATACCTTGTGGTTTCCCCATCCAGGCCTCCCAGACGGCGTCCGAGCCAATGGGGTGGGATGATCGTTTCGAATCGCCAGCGAAAAGGGGATGCGGCTCAATGCGGTGCCCGATTTTCTCCGTGTCGACGTCGCCGATGCATCGCCGACATCGACGAGGCATCGGCGACGCATCGGCGATGTATCGGCGACGTGGATGCGGCACGATCCTCCGACCCCGTCTACTCGGACCCCATCTGGGAGGGCGGCCTCAAGGGGAGGGTTCGGGAGGGAGAACCAGTAATTATCAATGACACGCTGCCGTTCCAGAATCGGGGGCCTCCAAACGGCGCGGTGACCACATCGTATGGCGAGCCAGGAGGGATTCAGGCTCACCGCACGGCTTTGGGACCCGAGTCGTTCTTCGAGGACATGTTGGGCTACTATGTTGGGCACTCCAGGGCCCCAGAACCGCGTTGTGACGAACCGTTCGGTGATGTCCTTGGGGTTTCGGCGGCCACCGCATGTTTTTTCCAGCCAAGAGGAGCCACATGGCAAGAGACGACGACAAAGACGACGACAACGACGACGACAACGACGACGGCAACGACGACGACAACAACGTTGGCAAAGACAACGACAACGACGCCATTTTTATGAAAGAGGCAACGACGACGACGACGAGACGGCGCGACCGAGGGGGCCCAGAGCCGCTTGGGGGGCGGCCGCGCGACACGCCAGCACCGCGGCCGCGTTGCCGGCGCCGCCCGCAAGGGGGGCGGAGCCGCTCGCTGGCAACGCCGGCGAGTCGGCCCAGATCCACTACACGCGTAAGAGTGACCCTTCGCCAGGGTGATTTTTGGTGCGGGAACATCGGGGTCTGCCCGGCTGTTGAGCGCAATGTGATAGCGGCTGCTTGCGCGCTTCGATTTGTCCACCTTGCGCCGCCTGAATCCGCGCACTAAAGGTCACTCTAGCCCAGGGCCACTCTTGCGTGTAGCCGGCCATAGCCCAGGCCTTCGCACAAGCGCCAGCGCGGCGTACGGGGACGCCTACGAGCCACGACGCGGCGCAGCGCCGCGCCGCCGAGCTCCGCCAGCTCGTCCGCGAGCCGCTGCTGGACCTCGCCCGCTCCGTCATCGAACACACAAGAAGCCCCATAGACCCGAATAACACGATGAAGACGTGGCCTCACTGAGGACCCCGTCTTCGCATTTGGGATGACAGTTATTTGCGGTTCGGTCTGATACATCTGCAGAACAGATTCCCTATCCCTGATGCTTCTGGCCCTCGTAACTGAGGCCCCCTCCCAAAAGATTAGGGGTCCTTTTTTGTCAATCCACTCCCGCCCGCCTCCCCCCGCGGGGAGGCGCTCGCGGGTGGCGCGTCGGCGCTCGGGGAGGGTCTCGCCGCGGCAGCGCCGTCAGCACCCGACCGTCGCCAGCGCGCCCAGCCCCGCGCCGCTGCCTGCGCATGGCTGTTCCCCGGCGGCCGCCCGCGGCGGCAGCCGTTTCCCGGCCCGGGCGCTTCCGGTCGCGGCGCGTGGCTTTGGCCGCCAGCGCCGAGCTGGCGTCGTGCGCCCCGGAGGCGTCCGGGCGCGGGCTCGGCGTCGCGGGCCGTCCCGATAGCGTCCGCACCGGGCCGCGGCCCCGCCGCGTCGGCGCCGCGGGCCGCCCGCGGCCCTTTGGGGGCGCTTGCCGCGGGCGCGCGTCCCAGCCCGCCATGAGCGCGCTGGCGACAGCCGCGCGGGCGGCCCCCGCCGATGAAGTTCGAGGCGGCCCCTAGGACTCCTGGAACGGCGGCTGCTGCTCCAGCGCCGCCGCCTGGGCGCGACGCCGTTTCCCAACAGGGCCAGCACCTCGGGCAGACTTGCGCCGAGGCCCTGAGGGCGAAACTTGGGGCCGCGGGTTCAAGAAGCCGAGCGATGGGCTGCAGAATTTTTGCAACGGGTAAATGAGCACCACGTGAGCACCACGTGAAACGCCAAGCCGCCTTCTTCGCCGCGCGAAGGCCGACCTGCCAGCTCCTGCAGTCCCTGGCAGCGTTATGGAGCTGAGGCCGCCAGACCCCTCATTTACCTCAGCCGCGCGCCCGCGGTTGCCCGCGCTTTTCGGGGGCTGGGTGGCGCTCGGCGCGCATCGTGGATGGCGAAGAAAGCGACAGCAAATAAGGTGCAAGGCGCTTCGGATCTGCAGGCAGAGACCATCAACAAGCTCGTCGGGGCGGGGCAGATCCTGCAGTCACTTCTGACGGGACCAAGCCCTTCCTCGTGGAGCTCGCGACGCGCGGGAGGGCCATTGCCGACGACGCTGGGATCTCTGGTGAGATGTCGATTGCGTCGCATGGTTCCGCCGCCGAGGCGAGAGTGGATGATCTCGTCGATTTCGCGGCTTTTGTTGGATCGATTGATGCGTCGGCGATCTCGCATCGCCGCATAATTGAAATGTATGAGGGCGATGGTGTTCGGGTTGCCGCGGGCGAGGGATGCAACTGACGCCACTGGTGCAAGGCGCGGGCGCTGAACACTGGGGACGCGCGAGCGGCTTGTCTTCTGCCCTGAGTGCATGCAAGGGCTGCGCAGGGAGCGCAGCGGCGTCAGCGGCGCGGCAGGCAGCGCCGCGACGGGCACGGAGAGCTCCCGCTACAGGATTGCGGGTTGTCGCAGCGTCGTCAGTGGTTTGCTTGTGCCCAAACGAGCTTGCCGACGCACTCGTTCCGTCATCACTCTGCCTCCTGGCGCAAACTTCGCTGGGCGCCGCTGCGAACCTGGCCGAGGGTGGCGCCGCCGTGGCCCAGGGGGGCGACGTGGAGTTTTGTCGACGCCATGGGGCAAGGCCCCTTGCGGTGAGCATCTCGGACATCCGCCGCCCTGCGCGCATCTCGCGCCAGGCTTGCGTCGACGCCGCCGCGATAGACTTGCCGGGCGCGCCCAGGGCGCGCGCGGCCCGCGCCGACGAGGGGCCGCCCTCTGCGATTGGATATCCCGACGACGAGCAAGGCGCATCGCGGCAGACGCTGCGACCAGCGCTGTTCCGCAAGATGCGGGGGGGGCCGTCGTTGAGCGCAAGGCGCCCCATGAAGCTGCCTCTGGGGTCTCGAATATCGACGCGGCGCATCCGGCGGCGCGGTCGCCGAGATAGGGGCGACTTCGACGAGGGCGCACTCGAGGAGACGACGGGCGAGCATGAATGTCGGGGGTATCAGTGTTATCCGCAAGGGCTTCGCCCCCTGCCGCCGGCCCCCTCTCTCGGAGAATGGGCCGTGGAAGAGCTAAGTCATGAGGCTTTGGCGCTGTCGTGCAGCAGTGTCGGAACTTCATGCGAGGCCGATTCGCAATCGGCAGAACCAACTGATCACAAGAGGGGTTACCACGCAGGGCGATTGGTAAGACGTGTATGGTTTACGAGCTTGGTTACCACACCTTGGGATTGCAGGGCCGAGGGAGTGCTCGCAGTTTGGGTTGCCACGCCTTGCGATGGATGTGCGTGAGGGGTGGCACCGAATTTCAGAAATGTGGCAAATCCTGTTGTGTTTTTGGACCCTGACCCCGCGGATCTGCGTGAGGGGTGGCACCGAATTTCAGAAATGTGGCAAATCCCATGTGTTTTTGGACCCTGACCCCGCGGATCTGCGCGAGTGGTGGCACCGAATTTCAGAAATGTGGTAAATCCCTTTGTGTTTTTGGACCCTGACCCCGCGGATCTGCGTGAGGGGTGGCACCGAATTTTACAAATGTGGCAAATCCCATGTTTTTTTGGACCCTGACCCCGCGGATCTGCGTGAGGGGTGGCACCGAATTTCAGAAATGTAGCAAATCCTGTTGTGTTTTTGGACCCTGGCCCCGCGAATCTGCGCGAGGGGTGGCACCGAATTTCACAAATGTGGCAAATCCCTTTGTGTTTTTGGACCCTGACCCCGCGGATCTGCGTGAGGGGTGGCACCGAATTTCAGAAATGTGGCAAATCCATTGTGTTTTTGGACCCTGACCCCGCGGATCTGCGCGAGGGGTGGCACCGAATTTCACAAATGTGGCAAATCCCTTTGTGTTTTTGGACCCTGACCCCGCGGATCTGTGCGAGGGGTGGCACCGAGTTTCAGAAATGTGGCAAATCCTTAATGTTTTTTGACCCTGACCCCGCGGATCTGAATAAGGGGTGGCACCGGATTTCAGCAATGTGGCAAATCCCTTGTGTTTTTGGACCCTGACCCCGCGGATCTGCGTGAGGGGTGTCGATTTCGAGCTTCCCCCGCAATTCAGACAGCGCGCCCAGGGGGTGCTAGAAAATCATGTTTGGCGCCCCCCCCCCCCCCCCCCCCCCCCCCCCCCCCCCCCCCCCCCCCCCCCCCCTCGCGCGGTCAATCAACTAGTTGCAGTAACCAGCAAGAAGCAGAACTGTAACACTGGAAACTACAAACTACAACTG